AAATCGGGCGAAACAGTACAATTTTAGGATATGTTATTGGAAAGATTTTTATTCAAAAGGCAATTAATGATTGGAATTATTTGCCTACGGGCATAAAAATAATAAGATAGGAAATTTCAAAAGCTCAGTAAAGGCACATTTACTAGAACAGTTAGGAAATCATTATTAAATTCACTGGTATGACTAGATGTTAATCTTAGTTTTTATTTTTATTGTTTTCCTGTTCGTGAAGTAAAAGAAGATATTGAAGTTTAATATTTTACCTATATGACATCTTTCAGTTTCCAAAGTTTTTTCAAGTTTTTTTATTTGTATATTCTAGTAAGTTTATATCCAAGGACCCCATTGGAAATAAGCCCTAGGGCTTTCATGGGAAATCCGAGGTTATTTCACACTACTTTATACATGCTTTCTCTTACATTGGTAATGTCTGGAATGTATTCTTTTTTAGATTTTGTTCTCAATTATTATTTTTATTATTTATTTTTAAATGAGCCTCCCATGATATTTATGTTTGACAAACTACCGAAATATTTTATTGCAATAGTGTTATAAAATTTATATAAAAGTGTTTGTAATGCATAGGTGTGTTTTAACCTGAATAAATATCTATCTCTATTTATCTAAATGTGGCACTATCGTGCCATATCATTAAAAACGGTGTATGGTCCCCAAGTAATAGAAAGTATGTGCCCTAAACGGGAAAACAATTGGCGGAACTAAATAAAATGGAATTTTGAAAGGGGATCATAGGTTATGAAGCATGCATATCACAGGCAAGACGTCAAAAGACAAATTTAAAAGGAAGGCAAAATATACTAAGGGTGATTCAGCGTTTTTCAAGTAGAAATATTGGAACCACCCAAATCGAAAAAGCTGAATAGTTCAAACTAAATAATACCACAAACACAACATTACTGTCGTCTTAAAAATCTTTAAGGATCAGGAATATAACATCTATGTTAATATGTTTATAATCAAACCTATGTCATACCCAAAGCAACAAATTTGTAATATCAAATTAAGAAATAGTTATACATTGTTGATCACAATACTGATTTTACTGGACTCTTACACAATTTCAAACTATTGAGCTGTGTAGCAGTGGCAAAAGGCTTCCACTGTTCTTTACTTCAATGTTGTTATATTTTTTTTGTCCTTCGGGATCATTGATGCCAGCACTATTAAGTGTTGAGAATTGAGTACTGCTGAAGCCGGTGCTAGGGGCGAGAAGTATGTTGCACTTAATTCATTATCCCTCACGTACAGAGGTTCAATCAAATTGATTTCATGTAATTTTAATGTGATTAATGCTTCCGATGGTTCACGTTATATGTAGGATTTTATATTGGACAAGGCGTAAGCTATATTTAACAACTGTGTACTTGTCCAATAGAATTCTGTATTGCTTTCTGCATAATATAATCACCTACTTCACCTTATATAATACATATTGAGAAAACCTATCATTCAAAACAATCTAAAACATGTAATAAGTGCGCTAGTATTCATAGAGAAAATAACTTTTTGTGCACATTCAAATAGATATAAACGATATGGAAAGTAGACAAAAAAACTATTTAAGAAATTAAGATATGTTCCGTAACTTAACCCTAAATTGCAAGAAATATACATCAATACTTTCAGCGATCTTATTGAAATATTTAACATGTTTAAAATATGTTCATAATAAACTTACGTTTTGTAAAACTTTCATCGCACATTTTCGTATACTGTCTTTGTCATGGAGTTTACCACGTAATCGAAAAGTTGAAGTCACAATGTTGAAACCAGCTGATAGTGCTATGTATCTTAGGAAAGAAATGCAGAGTAATATTCGAACACAAATCACATCCATGGTCTTTGAATGCTTCTGTGAGATATGAGTCGCAGCACTTTTGTCATATGTTATTTTGTCTAAATGAACTGGCGAAACATGTATATCGACGAATGGCATTGCTTTTGAAAATCTAATATGTCTGAGGAAACGTATTTCAAACGTGCTAAATAAATATTTAATTTGAGCTTTGTGTACCAGTAGTTTAACTGCTTTAAACATCAAAACGGCATTGTTTCAAAAAAATGTCATTTGCTGGTGTTCTGTTCGAAATATATACGTCATTCTTAACTGCTTTCTTTGAAATATAAGCTCATTGTCAATAATTTAACCTTCATATTTTCTATCGCAATGAATATTGCATGAGCTTCTTTAAACTCTAAACATGGATTTTTTAGAAAAGTACATTCCAGTTACATTCCAATCGTTTTCAAGTTATTCATCGTGTATTTTAACGTTTTAGAGGTTGGTTTGTTTGGATTTTTACGGCAAGTCAACACATAACTTGCCATATCGTGCCGAATGCTGGAGTTACAGATTTGTAATGAAAGTCGCGTCACATGTTTTAACACGACTATCATTATCTAAACCTCTGAAGTCTTTAATTCCCAACTCCCTGATTTTAAATATAAATATCTTTGTCAAACTACATATGTTTTAAACATATATACAAACAGATCGTGTTAAATGTGACCTGCTTGATCATTTATTTATAGTTTGACATTTGTTCTAGCTTTGATAGCTTATGTACTCGGTGTTTGTGTCTATAAACTATAATTATTAGGTATATAAGAACATTACAAAATAAGTTTGTAAATAAATGTAGTTCACTATATATATCTACAAACATCATTTATGCCATAAATGAAAAAAGTGAAACTGAACCAACCATGGTACAATTGTCATTACGCCTGTCAATCAAACTGTCAGGGGTCACAGAGATAAGCCAATCATCGATCGTTATCAGTAACACGCTAAGATGCCTGCGAAGTCCACCATTTTCCTTAGACAAGCTACTTGTCTAATACAATGGTGCAAATGTAATTTAGATCGAAATTATTTTAATTTTTTGTCAATTTATAGCTTCTTTATCTATAAAATTATTAAGTTACCAAATATACTGACATATTGACAGATCGAGTAAGTTAGTTTATTATACAAGAGGTCAATTAACTTCTACATATGGAAATAATAAGTACGAAACATTTATCCTGGCTATAATCAGAGACATAGATAACAGAGATAGGCAACTTCCTAACCAGTTAAAATATCACGCGTTCCTGCTAAACTTAATCTTGTAGCAAGTAAAACTTATTAATCAGATATCAAAATCGGGAAAATAACACAATGAAAGCTTATGAATTTGTCTATGGCTGCAGGTAAAAATATTTACACTTCCCATGTAAATAAATGATACATCAATTTTTAAAGAGAACTACTTATTAATGTTTGTTACAAAACTATTCATATGACGAAAGAACTGGCTCAGTGGGTAAGTTCTGCTATGTTTTTCTAAGTGAAAGGTAAGGAAAGTTACCAATATTTTAACATGCAGCAATAGATTTACCTTTCAAATGGTATATAATATAAAACGGATCAAATGTGCATCCTTAAAGTTTTATTTGCTTCAAAATGCCTAATTTTTCACATTTTGATGGGCATGAGTGATATTTCAATGGAGTATATAGGAGTTGCTTATCTCTGTATCTATGTCTCTGCCTCTGCTATAATACAATGCATTGACAAAGGATTTAATAAATCACAAAGGTTTAAATAAATCCATTTTTTTATTTCCATTCTATCTATTCATAATCACATTACATATTATAAGGTCCCAGAATATCCAGATGATATGACATTTTTTTGTTTATAACGTATGTCGTCAATAAAAACGCAGCCGTCAAACTGCAAATAAAATGAGTAAATACAATAAAAAATTGAGTGAAAATATATAACCTGAATATTTCTATTAAAGTTCAATAAATTAGAATTAGATATTCAAATAGATCTGCTTAATATAAACTAACACCAATAACATCATGTCTGATTTATGTGAAGAGTTTTGTGTGTATTTTAGAGAGAAGTTGTGTCGTGAATCATATCAAATTATGTTAACAATACATAATCACACATCATAAAACGTTAGCAAGGGCATGTAATTTTCTCAATCAATTTTAACAATTCATGAACAAACTAATGTATTATCTTTACTGAATTTCGCACATAAAACCCGAAAAATGATTTTAAATTTAATTTGTGTCACTAATATAATTTTATAGTTTTACTTCAATTTCAAAATAAAACAATCATAACATAATCATATACTTTTCTACATATAGTCTCTCTTTGAAATTGAAATATATAATTATATTTTGTCAGTTTTAAATTTTCATTAAATAACACGAACTTTGCAAAACGCTTTATGCGTCATTAATAAGTGAATGCAGATATTATTTTTTGACATTTTTAAGATACCTTAATACATTAATACGAGTTCATTGCATTATAGATCTACTATTCAATAAAACCATTTAAAGCATCAAAAGTGTATATAAACAAAATTTATGTAAGGTAAATTCATTGGTAACATTAGTGGTATAACAGTTTTGCGAATACATCGGTACCGTATTTTGTCTAAGGTTCTTATTGACCGAGTCACGTGAATCAGTGGGCGGAGCGATCCCTTCTCTGGCGTAATGTCAATTGATTTGCTGTGTTTATTCATGGTTAACATTGTTATATAAATAGCTGATAGATTCGACATTATGTCGTTATCAAGTAATGCATATCGGACCATTCCTGTTGGCTGGGAAGGCCCCTCATTTGTGGGACTTTCGTTGCCGAGTAGTTAATGTCGACGACTTCAAACCACTTGCCCTACTGACAGGACTTTGAAATCGTTGATGTTGTCAAGCTTTCCAGCCAGCTAAAGGAACTTCAGTGGTTCTTTTCTGGTGCCTTATTATGCTTGAAATAATGGCCCGATTGGCACATGAATTCTTACTCAATAAGTAAATCTGGAAAATCTAATATTGACATAGATTGTTTTAGAACGACAAAAAACCCTCACACTGCAATTTATGACCCCAAGTGTGTCTGACGTCACTATCAGTGATTTGTACAACATTTTTTGATTGAGTGAGCATGAAATAAATACAATGATTTCATTTACTGCTGTGTATTATAACAATACACAAGTTGTTTAAAAGGAAGTTTAATTCTATACAATCATGGGACAATGGTTAATTGCTTTGTGTAGTTTTATTTCTGGGTATAAAATACAAAGTGATGTACACGTGTTAAATCATTTATTATATACGTATATACGTAAGCTGAGTATACAGTGATATAAATGGAAGTTATATAACGAAGAATACCGATATGCTGTCAAATAAATATAAACTGGCTTTATTTGAATGGAACCAATCATAAAGTTTAAAAATAAAAATACATTTTTTCGGACATATAGGAGTAGTATGAGGTTACAATATACATCTACTGATCGTTGTTATTAAAACAAGCTTGAAATGGTATACACATAAACACTCAAATACGACAACTAAAAACTTACAAAAAAGTCGAAAGCGAAAGAGGAAGTGACACGAAATAACGTTAATCCGTATCATCATCATCAGTTATTTTATATTTCTTCCTGAACGTAAGTTTGTTTTAAATTTTAACTTATCAAAACGTTTAAATTTGACTGCCTGTTGATAAAAAGAAGGTAATATACCAAAATATAACTTGTAATATTTATCACCAAATATATTATATGGCAATAGTACTAAATTACATTACAATCAGCGCATTTAGCAATTACAATATTTGCCAATATTTACATTTAGCAAACATAAATTTATATATGAGCTTTTGATTTTTGATCAGCTGGTTCTTACAAACTGAAAGTTTTGTTGTATTTTTATGATTTGACATTATTTTAAAAAGACACTGTTTTCATGAATTGAATCGCAATATTTTCAATTTTCAATTATATAATCTTTGACTCGAGTACGAACAATTTACTGCCTTTTCCTCTCCCTGATTGTTCAAACAATTCAATCCGGGATAAATGTTTCGTCGACTAGCTATAGTTTGTCCCTTATCAGCACTTTTACTAAAATGCAACTTTGAACCGCGAAGGTTGTGTGTTATATCTTGTTTTAGAATCACTGATCTACGATTTAGAAATGGCGGCCGTCATGGGACGGACAGAGGTGGGGATAAAGAGAATAGGCGGAAGTGTTGTAATAGCCAACAATCCTCGAGCCAAACTTATGTACTATTTAGACTGCATTTGTTCGGTGTTAGACCTAAGTGATACTGACAATCTGGCACGGTTACGGTAACTATTCTATACATCCTTTATTTCAAAGTTTTTAACAACGACCGTTATCAAATTAATATACGACTCAATAAAAATATAATATACATGATTTGAGCCGCGTCACGACAAAACCAACATAGTGCGTTTGCGACCAGCATGGATCCAGACCAGCCTGCGCATCCGCGCAATCTGATCAGGATCCATAGTGATCGCTATCAGTTTTTATACTTGTAAAAGGGTTGGTAAGCGAACAGCATGGATCCTGATCAGACTGCGCGGATGCGAAAGCTGGTCTGGATCCATGCTGGTCGCAAACGCACTATGTTGGTTTTGTCGTGACGCGACTCATTTGACATTTACAACTTCATATAACACAGCGCCATGGTATTTTATTTCCATGTTTGCTATTTTAACCTCTACGTGTTTATGCAGTATTCACGGAAGTTAATGATGTTCATGTATGTTGCAATTGCATTTTTATCTCAGTATATCATGTTGATACAGGGCAAAGTAATTGGCCATACTTGTACACATCATTTTATCGTAAGTGATCTGTATTATTTTCCTTGCTAACTGCGTCGAATATTGTTACAGCTATTTTTTAATAAAGTCCTTAGGGAACTTATTTTCACTTTAATTCACATAATAACAATATAGCTAGTGTTAACAATATGTTTTGATAAGAATGTTAATCCAAGTTAACATGTTTGTTTTAAAACTGGTAAAAAAAAACAAGATGATATGTGAATGTAAAAAATATGACAGAAATAAATCAACGGAAATCCGCCAATTTGTTTTATGAAAACAAACCTCTTATATCCCCGAGAAGGGTCACTTAATGAGACAACGTACTTAAAATACTTAAAGATTCACACGGTGCATATCCATATCGGTAGCGAAATCTACTCAAACGGTACCATCGCTATACTTTGCTAAAATCAAACCAGCGATGGACAGCAATCCGGCTAATGTTTCTTAAACTGACGAAAGGATGTAAGTCATGTGGAAAATAAGTATACCACGGAACACTGGAATGTTTTATCTTCGAGTGTTTATTGAAGTGTGTACATTTTCAATTATTGCAACCCCACAATAAGCTATATAAAAAATATAAAATCGACATGTCTTGTCTCGCCTATGACCTCGAAATTTTTTTCATGGGCTGAAATGAACCAGTGGGTTGACTACATATGCATCATGCATATTACATATGTTCATTTATACATAACCTTCGGGAAAATTGCAGTTACTAGTCAAACATAAATGTAAAATTAATAAAAACACCCTACTTTCGGTTTATCATATTTCCTATAACTACGGTGCTTCATGTAGGTCATCATTGTATTGTGCTGTCTTGGAAACAACACAGTATTACAATGCTATAACCAGGAACAACGCTTGAATAATTGATTCAGCAATACCTGCAATATCGTTATTAGTGCTATAAATTTATATTGCTGCATTTTGATTGATAGAAGCTGACATTGGGTCGAATCCTGAGTGGATGTTAGTAAGCTACACTGCTGTGTAGCTGGCATATTCAAGATGGGCATATTGGATTTTCTTCCATCACCAAAAAACTGCAAGACTAGTCTATAAACTTTTGTATTTTGTGCCAATAAACATGGACACTTACACGTTAATTAAATGTTATAAAACATGGTACGAAAATTGGCGTTCTCAGCCGCATAATCCGCGAATAAATGATAAATGACATTAATATGATTCGTTTACCTTGACCTTTACATGCAGTATGATTCCATGAATGCTTGAATGGGCAGTTCTTATTTAAGACAAGCGATTCCTGAAAAATGACCAGTTCTAAAATTAAGAATTATCAAGTTACAATTGTGTTCCTCTATTTTATTTATTCACATTTGTAAATAACAAAACTCCGTATCATTACACTTAAGTATATTCACGTACATAAAGATAAGAAATATTACATACTTAACGATTCACGCAAATAAAAACGTATGCTGTGCTTTGAGGGTACCCGTGTGTTAAAAAATGAGAGGGTACCTGGGATATAAAAATTCAAAATCAAAGAGGTAGCCAGTGCCGCTGCAAAACCGAAAATAGGGTATTTTATGAATTTTACATTTATTTTTGACAATATACTGCCATTTGTCCGAAGATGATATATAAATGAACTTATGAAATATGTATGATGCATATATAATCAAGTCACTTGTTCATTTTAGCCCGAAAATATGTCGAGGTGATGAGCGGAGCAACCCAAAATGCAGTACTTACAACACGGGCACATGACAAATCAGCACATAAATGAAACATTCTAGTGTTCCGTGATATACATCTTTTCCACATTTCATACGTCCTTTCCTTATTACAATGAATTTTTACTGGATTGTTATCAATGGCTGGTTTGTTTTTAGCAGAGAATGACCTGTTCATGTGCAAAGAGGGTACCGTTTCAGTAGATTTCGTAAAGAGGGTACCGATATGAATATACACCGTGATTCATACATAAAGCGTGTACGCCATATATATATTTAACTGTATTTCAACATATTGGAAGCCAGCTACTATATTTAATATTAATATGAAATATTTTTTAGAATTTATAAAGCTTGGAAATTCCGTACCTTTTTAGCTTCATTTTTTTTCTTTGCAAATTGCAAAGTTCATGAACATTCTTTGAAATATATCCGCCACTTACTTTTTTAAATATCAAAACGTTTTGGTAAAATGTTGAACTTAATAACGAAATAAATAGAGGATATTCAATTTTTTTTATAAAAATGGGATTAATTTTTATCGCGTAGTATGAAAATAATATTTTACAAGTGGCATAGTATGTATAGGTAAAAACTTGAATTATCTTGAATTTTCTTTTTTTCTTTCCTTATTTTGATTCACAGGACTTTACCGTTTAATTTTGTGTATTGACTGAGCTGCACAAAAAGGAGTTCAGAAAGACCTGTGAAAAAACGAATAATATACTTCATTGCAGTGAAAATCTGTGAAATGAAAAGAATGAATTCCATCAATATTTTATTTATAAGTATATGATAAAATGGTTTACCAATCTACTAAAAAATCATCACATAAAACAATGAAAAAAATTACGAATTCATGGCCAGAAATCGATAAGATGATTCGAACAACTAACAAATAAGAGCAACTAATTCTTAACAAATTTATGAATTATCTAAACAAATACAATAAAATATATTTTGATGTGTGTCTTTTTAGAAACTTTACCAATCTACTAAAAAATCTTCACATAAAACAATGAAAAAAATTACGAATTCATGGCCAGAAATCGATAAGATGATTCGAACAACTAACAAATAAGAGCAACTAATTCTGAACAAATTTATGAATTATCTAAACAAATACAATAAAATTATTTTATGTGTGTCTTTTTAGAAACTATAAACAGTATTTTTCTCTAAGTGAAGCGGAAACAGACACTCTTGTTACATTTTGTGTACTTCTGTCACCAGATGAACTTTGTGGAAAAGTAATTTTTCAGGTATGTAGATGTATAGTTCGGAACTGGAACATACACGATACGCTTTATGACATTAAAGATCCTGTATGTTGTTATTAAATAAAAATATAATTATGCTTATAAAACAATTTTCAAACATCGAAGAATATGTAAAATATGTACAGCAAATATAAGTACATATTATATGTAATCATTAGAATATATGCATTCATTACTTATTGAAAAAATTGACTTAGTCTTTATAGAAAATAAATATTTTATAACCTCCCTTTATTTACATGAAATGTTAAATTTGGAAATATCTTTATAAATAATGCTTTTTGGAACTTACAAAATTGATTTAATTTGAGCATCATGTTTATGATATAAAACCATAAAAAATTGTGTTACAGGATCTTTAAAATAAAAATGTTTTAGCACAAACAAATATTCAATTACTATATTACACATCTCTTCAATATAAAAATAAAATAAAGAATCAAAATAAATCAAAATAAATCAAAATAAATTTAAGGGGAAAACATAACTGTTAATTGAGATTGGTAACTCGAACAATTTTTTTCCATCTGGATAAATTTAGAACTTCTACACATTGAGGCAAAAACATCGTTTTTAATAATTATAATGATTTACTCTTTCTAGGATATTGAAATGTGTGGGAACAGCAGCAATCGATTCTACGAAATAAGCATGGTACACAAGAACCTCCTTGTCGCAGACTCTGTTATCATCGGTGGCCGAAGTCGAGCCGTTTCCAAGATAATGGCGTTTAAACCTGATTGGCTTGTAAAATATTGGAGAGACCCTATGGTTTACTTTGCACCTAGACTTGCAAGAATCACGGGATTGAGGTCAGGTAGAAGACAACGAGTTGGCGAGTACACCCCATTGATAACACCAGGATACGGTGTCAGTAACAGGAGCAGTAACAGTGGTTGTTGTTGTATAATTTTGTAACAGGAGTATATTAGGAGCATACAATAACATTCTGAAAAATAACTATTTATAGTACTCTTTTGTTTGCTGCCAATAAAAAAAGATTTGTTGGTTAAAATTTGTAATTAATGATATGACCATATCTCATTTGTCATCAAAAGAAGTAAGTTTGGTTAAAATTGACGGATTAAACAGATTTGTCTTGCGCTATAAAAGCTACATGGCGATGTTTTTGCATGCTTGACAAATGTGAAATAGATATAAAGCGGAATTCAAAAATCACCTCCGAGACGCCAAATTTGAAAAATGGCTTCGTTTGATTAAGGCTGTTAGTTCACGACAGTTTTAAGTAGCAACTGCAACGCCATCTTAACAGGAATTCAACATAAAACGAAACATGAAATTTAAAGTTTTAAAATTCGTGATGTGGTATACGGTGATAATCATGGAATCTACTGAATTCTACGTAGGTGCCATTTCATGAAAAAGAAGCCATATATAAGATGTAATATAAATTGAACTACTTTGTTATTTGAGCCGCAATATTTGTAACATATGCAAGTGGTAGGATACTTCGTCATCGCGCACCTGCTGAATGCTTCCATTTGGACCATATTTGTAGAAAATCCGTCTGAATGGGAGCATTCAGCAGGTGCGCGATGACGTATAGTATCCTACCATTGTATAAGGTGTACGTATGAATTCCAATCAAATACAAGTACAAATGTTGCTGCAATGCATCAATTGAGAAGCTCCGCGCAAAATAATGCGCTCGTTACAGATACCTTACCAAATCATTCCTTAGCACAAGTCATGTTCTTACTAGACTAAGTACTATTGTAAATTATTCCGGATGTTTCGTAAATCAATTATTGCATACTTATACTTATCGTATGCACTATCCATGAGAGAGGGCCATATATTTTTTTTTTTAAATGTATTACTAATGCCTACCTGGTAACGAAAGTATTCAATTGAATACAAACAATACCTACAATACTTGTATTTAATGTTATGTGATATGACAGTAGTGCAACATTGTTCTGATTATGTCACTATTGTAGTCAGTAATATAAGATGGTAAAAATATCAAAGCATGTACATTTGTTTTTCACCTATAATGCTTCTCATTTTCTACAAATATCAAAAACTAATCATGGTATAAAAATCCAGTAAATGTAAATGAGCCAAAACAAAAATTTTCATGGGTTTTACTTTTCAAAATAGCCTTTGCATGTTTCGCGGCAAATGGTATATCATGATATTACAAGAAAAAATTGATGCGAAGCATTCAAGGGCGTCCAAGCAAGAAATGCAGCAAATGACAATGAACTAGTAGACATCTGATGACTAGATATACTTGTTTTCAATGGTTAATTCGATTTTACCAGCATTGTATATCATAGATAAATGGCTGAATGGGAGGACAAAAGACATTGTCCATCCTGAATTTTGGTAGGTTTGCTAGAGGTTAGAATATTAAATGTATTTTCTTTGGAACATACAAAACAGTAGTCAAAATGAACAAAGTCTGTTCTTTTTATCATAATTGTAACAAATATACAATATATACAAAAGGTAACAAAAGGGAATAATATAGTTTCAAAAAGACACAAATTAGGAATATTTTTGTGTTATACACGTTATACGGTGAAACATTATTTATCAATAAAATAGAAGACTTTTACCTGAATTTAAGACCGGCAGGAGGAAATTCACTATCATCATGTTTTTGGGAGACAAATATATAAAAGCTACTTGGCATTGGTGTTAAATAAAGAGCTATGTTTAATTGATTTATTGGGAGAGCAATATACTGTTTTATTGAATTGCTTCAAAACCCTCTGTGTTTACATTCCTATAAAGCCATAACACCTCATGTTAAAACTAGTTGTTAAAATGTTACAGTATTCGGAAAATAAACTTTCCATTCAAACCACCATAAAACCAATAGCCTTCAAATAAATTAGAATAAAAAAATGTCGAGAAATCAGGGTCGATTGAAATTTTCACGATAAAAAATGTCAGAACAGCAATCAGGGCCGTAAAAAAATAAAAGCAATGTACCGGAAAGAACATGCGGAAAAGACAATTTCAAAATGCTAATACAAGGATATAACAATTCGTAAAAAATGACCTGATAAATTAATTAAGAGTGCATTTAATTATTGAATATGTTTGCATTTCATTTCCTTCATCATTCTCCAATTTGTTATTTATTATTATAGCGCGACACGAATGACCGTTTCGTTTAGACTAAAACTACTTCTATAAATAGATTTTCGGTCTTTCAAAATGTTAAGGTCATCTAGCTATTTATATAGCTTACGAATTCATGTACAGCACTAAAATACATACATAACCCACTGTGTACTACAAAATAATTAGTAATTTCCTGTAGAAGATACACATGTAAGAAATGAATCACCGAATTTAAGTTTATTTTTGTTTGTCTTTTAACTGCTTTCCCATCAGTTGAGGCGTGAAATTTGTCCCCGTTCTCATTCATTGATATGACATGCTGCGAATCACAGAAGGGGAAACAAATATACGTATGACTTTACATAATAGTAATCGGAAGGACTTCTTGATACCGAATCTATTTTTTGCTACATAATGGGAAAATAAATAATGTATGCATAACAAATGTAATTTTAATACGAATCAGTTTCTTCGTCAGCAAGAATATAATTAATCATATATTTTATGTGTATACTTGTATCATGTGATACTCTACCTGAGTCATGCCGCAGATAATCATATACTGGATTGGTATTGACGTAATGTATTGGGTTAAGATCAACATATTTTTGTTCACTGAAACAAATTATATATATATATATATATATATATATATATATATATATATATATATATATATATATATATATATATATATATATATATATATATATATATATATATATATATAAATAAATGGATCGAAAACAACAACTCCTTGATTACCAATTTAATATTTCCATCCTATGAAGCTAAGCGGGCGGACAAACTAATTACAGTACATGGACTGGAAGTTTTCGTGGAATTTACATAGAATAATGTTATTGATATATATTGTTTGCTTGGTTGGTCTTATGCCGTTTTTCCTGGTCCTTCTTAATCATTGGTTCAAATAATTTCAGTGTTGTTTATTGAATACAGCTTACTCCGTTGCTAAAGGACGTCAGAGATGCTGCACATTACAATATCGTTCTTGTCAATATCTTTGCTTTGTTTTCACTGCTCTCGAAGGATAGCCGCATTCTCAGATTTTTATACTCACATCAGCAGGTATCAAATGCTGTGTGAATGCCGCCAGAAGTTGCTCAGCATTTTATCTTTAAGTTAGTGTTTGTTTAGATTGTCTATTTCTCTATTGATTCCAATATTTTAGGTGATTTCTAAAGCATTTAATTTAAATCTAGGCAGTCGGGTCCACCGTGCTGATTTTCTTAGATAACTAAGAACCCTTAAAACTCAAATGTCCGAAATTGATTGTCACCTCAACAGAAGATTGACACGGCAAGCATTGGTTTACAAACAACAAGATGCCCTTCATATTGCGATATCCGTTTGATAATTGATTTAAATAACGAGTTATAAATAACTTGGAAACAAGAAATGAATGAAATAGGGCGGTGCTATTTCCATACAACATGTTCTGAACCCAAAATGTGTAAATGGGACAAGGAGTCTCCATTTTGCCTAGTCAAATGACGACCAGCGTAAGAGCAGGATAGCGCCAGGTAAAGACAATGACAAATCCTTACGTGCATAAAAAAGCAAACAAAAAAGATATTTCACTTAAGAAAACAGCAAATGAAACAGTTGTATTAAAACCATTTAAAACATCTTATATACAAAGATGATAAATTTCTTGGTGATTATTTAGTTTTAAGGCTACATGATAAGCTATATATAAAAAGGGACACAAAGAATCAAAATTTTTAACATGTATAAATGCGATATGTGCAAAAATAGAACACACTGGCAATATGAAAGAAAAGTTAATAAATGAATTGAATAAGTGAATAGATGAATAAGTATTCTGAAGAATTCTTAAATATATATTATGCCCATTTAAGGGTAAAGTACTTTTATTTTAGAACTTCATTAAAATCTATGAAATTCTAACTGAATATGTTTAAATTAATTTGATTATTGTACAGTATTTAAACTCTGATGACTTACAGTGAGCAGAGATGAAAACGTAACACATCTTTTCTATGTGTACTTGACAGACGTTGACTTTACATCCAAGAAGACACTAAATAAGTAAATATTATTTTTTTTAGATATTAAATTTGAGCAAAATATATCTTTAACGCAGTTACTACCGAGAACATGATATTATATGGTAAAAGAACACTGTAAATATTTTATTGATGAACATTATAATAGACAATTTTTAGATTGAAATGAAAAAAAGACTTTAATGAAATACTCGTATAATGAATAAATCAAACACAATTACCATGCCTTTGAATTGTTTGGCGTTTCCTTCATATGTCCTAAAATAAATAGAAATGAATAGAAACTAAAATACTTACTGACTGTAGATAATGTCATTATCATTAATTATAAATGCTAAGAACGATAAGAAGAGCCGCATCTAGGCCTTTCTCTCACTTATAGATGTTAAACCTTTCAATAACGTCTCGACTGACGAAATATTTTATATTTCCTTTTAAATTGATTAAATAATGATAGTTATGATAGTATTCATGATGTATGGAAATACGGATATTAATATGGCTACACATTCAGTCGAAAGCAGTTTTGGTGTATAAAAACAAACGGTTGCAACATTCATCCATAAGGGTATACTGTTATATTTATTATTACTTATGAAGTTTGTCATGGTTTAGAACTGTCCGCTATTTAGGTGAGAAGATGTGTAAGCGGGCAGATAGCTCATTTGGTAGAGCCGCGAAACGTTATTTCAAGTGTCCCGGTTCCGAATCCCAGTCGGGCTTCACATTTTGTTTACCCTGTGACAACTTAAAGATCTTTTTCAATATCTGTCATGAAAATATAACAATTCATACTTATTTAAATGCTAACACCTAATTAAAATCTTTATGAAAATGTTCACCTATGCATGGAATTACGTTCCTGCGGTAGATAAATAACC